CACAGACCCTTTTCGCTTTGAACCCCGTGGCCTCGAGACTTATCAAATAGAATCATTTGAAACAGACGAGTGGAATTTGTTCAAGCGGAACAGAAAAAGGACCACGGTCAACGGCATTCATAAGAATGAAACTCCAGTACCCTGTCTACTACTGATATTTTTATTTAGCTTATTTTCTATAATTGCCAGCTGTGCAAAGGTCATTGTATTAAGTTTAGTTATATGAAAATTAGAAAGAAATACATAGCTACCTACTTTATGTCAGCTAAATTCAATTACCAGAAAAAAATACTTTGTTGACATTTCATCTTTACTATCTATATTATTATAATAAAGCGCAAACACACACTTTTTTGTTGCCTAAGATGTCAGCAATTACAGCATATTTTTGAACAAATATTTTTTTAATAAAATGTCTTACACTAACGTCACGCTTTAGGATATATATTTTCACGCCATTAAACTTAGGGGATAAAGTTTTTGATAAAAACCCTAATGTAGGAAAGAGATCAAAAGTTGCTGCCAACATTAAAGAAGCAAGGTTTTCATTATGTCATGTCATTTTGACATTTGCAATTGATAATTTGACACATGTAAACAATAAAATAAATTTTTCACAATTTTATGCGGATGAAGTCGCACGGGAATAGCTAGTCTATTATTAAAGTAGAAAGAAACAATTGTGAATTATTATTTTTACGTATCTATGCAGTAGGCCCTATAGTTATAAAATACATGGAAAATGTAAGTTTATAGATTACTCACGAAAATAGTTTTATATTAACTAGCTAATATATTAGTTAAAATATAAAATTGTTCTCTTCATTTGCTGTATGTTCACTATATCTATTTAAAGTACCATTATTGTAAGAGAAAACTAAACACATAAAAGAAAAGTATTGTTTTCGAAACCCCAACCGTTCAATAAATCTTTGAGGCTTACGAGTCTGTAAAAATTGGACGGCGACCCGCTTTATTACCTGGAACTTCGTTACGCGATCACTAGATGTCTTTAATTCAAGAGGGTACAAATATATTTCGTTTGACATTTCAATGTTAAGTTAACTTGTATTTATAAAATTTGTTATATTTGTTACAGCAGTTCTCAGTACAAGGAAATATTTAAGGCGATATATAGATCGAAGATTATCCTCGCAAGTTAGGAATGAGCCAGTTCGCTTTTTGGTGCGGTGTCAAGAGTATAAGTCGCAAATTACCGACGATCATCAAAAGATGGCACTGAAAGAAGAAAATTAAATGGTATGCTTGTCATTTGTTTTAATATTTACATAGCTTACAATTTAAATCATAGTGCAATTATTGTATTATAATTGAGGTAAGATTTCTGTTTTGTCTGTCTCACTGGGTTGCCTGTGAGATTGCTGATAGCAAGATGGCCGCCCTTGCGCAAATATTGTAGTAGCTTTGTTTTAGTACACTTATTGTAATATTTGCGCAAAAAGTATTAATAAAAAAGACGAGATATGAGATATAACATTTGTGTTACGTATATTAAAATTAATATTTTCTGAATACTAAAGATAACGTTTGAATGGACGACAAAAGTCAGAGTTACGAAATTTTCCCATCCATTAAATATATAGTTTATTTTTTAGTTATTGTCAAGATCAAATATTGTCATTTGTTTTATTTCGAATATCTTTTTTTTTGACTGAAATGAATTTGCGAATAAATGAGACCTTTTGGAGTTCAAAAGAGCTCGGAGCGGCATGCGTTGGCAGCAGATAGGAGCTAAGGCTTCCTCCGTCTAATTTATGTCGCTCATTAGCAGCCCGCTTCCATGCAGCGCGAGTAATCACTTACACACAACATGCTTTTGATAGACTAAGTTATACTGCATTGTAAAGAACTTAGGTATTTTCAATCTATACTGGTATTATTAAGAGGAAAGATTTGTATTTTTGTATGTATTTAAATAACTCAAAAACTAATAGGTCAATTTAAAAATCTTTCACTGTTAGAAAGGTAATTTTTCTGTGAGTAACATAGGCTTTATATTTTAATTTCACGCGGACGAAGTCGCGAGCAACAGCTAGTTATGAATATGATTGGGCGTTAAAAAAACAGACTGCGCTGAAAGCTTTTGTGGAGGCCTACGTCAGGAAGTGGATGACCTTAAACTAGAAATGGTGCTGCAACAATTAGAATAAGTTTTATGATTAGTACCGTAAATCAATGTATAATTATGACTTTTGTTATGAATTAAATTGTTTTAAAATGGGTAATAATTTTTCTTTGTAATCTGTAATTCTAAAGTAATATTTAAAATATAAACTTTTATGTACATTTCAATTTAATTAAGAAATAGTAATCTATACTTTGTCTAAATTAGATTTTATATACACACGAATATGAGGCCTAAATTCATAACCTACAATGGTTACAAGTTTAGTCAAATTTCTATCGATTCTGAATCAGTGACAGCAATAACAATACATAATTTGGGTTAAGCCGATCGAGTTGACGGACAATTTCCGGGTGAGCCCCCACAGGAAGTTATACTTCGATAAATGTTGGAAATTCTTGCCGAAATGCAAGCTGTTACTTTGTAAATATAACCTATTTATAACTGGATAGTAATGAGTCGAGTAAATCGGTAACATGTATATTAGATTTCGTTATCTATAAAATTAAGTAAATAATAAATTTTGAGTCATCGGAATCCAAAACAGGTGATGCTCTGTTTTTTATATAAGATGTTCTTTTGTTTTGTATTTTTTAAATCAAGTAAAATGTATACAGAGTGATTCTTTTATTAAGCTATAGCTTTTGAGGTCCTCTAATTCCACAAAGCCGTTGATCCGTTTGTTAAGGATCACCCTGTATATTAAATAAGGAAATAAAGATGTATGGAGAGATAATAATAATAAAAATCTTTTGTTTAACAGCTGCATTGGGTATTGAATAATAAAACAGTAAGAAAGATAATAATAACATTAAGAGGTATAGATTATAAAATGCCAATAAACTATTATGAAAACAGGAGCCCTATTTACGTTCGGGTAGAATGTAATAAATATCCGTCGAGGAAGTAGCGAGAGAGAGCAATTTCAATACTGAACACGATCTCTTAAGAGTTTGACTCTTAATATAGGTAAATGTTTGACTAAAATAAACGATATCGTTTGTGTTATATTTTTTTTAAATGTTATCAATTAAGTGATACTGTTATTAGATGTTTTAAGGTTATTTATTTGTATTGTGTGGAATAAAAAAAAAATTGCACTTGCCTATGGATTTATTTTTAATAATTTGTATAGCAAAAAATTGAAAAAAATGTGTTTAAATTTTTTATATAAAAACGTGTGTTACAAGAGTACATCCACACATCACTACAGCATAATATATACGAGTATGTTCTTATTAATATTATCTGTTTATTTCTAAGTGTTAAGTGTTCTATTTAAATCATAGACAGAAACATATAAAGCATGTAACTTAATCAAAAAGACCAAGGAAGGCGCAAATCAATTTTGACGTTATGAATTGCTTAACGTAGCTGAAAGGGGTTGTGCGACTTCCGAGTAAATTGAAATTCTTTTGTGACTCGATGCTTTTATAAAACCAAAACGTAACCGCAGCTTAATTAATAACGCAGTAATTTAAGATTGCAATTTAATTTACATTAATTACACTGATTTTTATTCACACTGAATGACCCAATCCGCTGAACAAGAAGAACTGAACTGAATTCGTACTGATTCGTTTTAGCTTATTTAATTTCAAGTAAACCTTTTATTATTCACTCACACTGTTAACGAGGCCTGGGTATTTTTTTAATCAAAATCCCGTTTTACATGTTCAGTTTTAACTGAAAAGTACAACTTTGCAGTAAACACTGAACACGTTATAATTTAAAATGTTAGACTCTATTATCTATTTTACAACTAAAATAATTGAAAATCATAGAATATGCCATGTTACATATAATTAAAAAAAAAAAATTGAATCTTTATTTAAACACTCCAAGCATTTCTCATCTTCGTATCACGAAATTGAAAGAGCGAGGGGGAGTTAAAAAAGGCGGCGACTAATTAAAAAGGTCTCCTTGAAAGCAATTCTCATGCGTCCCGGTTCCGGCATTACCTCGGCCTTTAAGATGCCATATGGAAAGAGCAAAGGTAACTTAACGTACGCAAAAAGATCTAAGCTTACAATTTCAAGGTCTGGATTTGTAAATTTATATTTTTACTAGCTCTCGACCGTGACTCCGACAGCGTTGAATAAAAAAAAAGTAGCCTATGTGTTCTCCCAGACTATCCTCTACATCTGTACCATATTTTATCGAAATCCGTTCAGCCGTTTAGGCTGCAAACTCTAACAAACATCCATCTATTCATCTAAACTTCCACATTTATAATATCACACACAAGTATGATTGAATAGCGTGTCATTAGGAATAAATAAAACACGAGAATATAAATAATAATTTATTTTTCAATATAAAGTGTCTTCAGGCCATTCTTAGTGAAGCGTTACTAACACTGATGGCAAAATTAAAACAATTTAAACTCTGAAATAGCTTAACAAAAACGATTGAGTCATATCTAATGTAGCGCTACTTAGGACACGTCATATACAAAAAAACCCTACCTTCAAATATTTACATCCACACAACCAATTAAGCAATACTACAAGCCTATTCACATACATGAAGCATTTGAGTTTTACAAATAATTATTTGATAATTACAATTACTCTAAACACACCTTAAAATTAATTTATACATTAACTATACAGTCTTCCAAATAATGGTAGCTATGGTCATATGTAACATAATTAAATTAGTTTGAGCAAGAAAGGTTGACAATTAAAAATCCCTAAAAAAATTGATTTTATTATTCATCAAATTGTTCCGATTTCGATTCCTTAATTTGGCTTACACATAAAATAAAAAAGAAGTAAATAATTTTTGTAAAATAAATATTTTATCAAGATTATAATTTTTGGTTAAAAACTGTTAAAATTTGTTCATTTGTTTAGAGCGGGCGCACACCTTTAACTAAAATATCGCACACCTGAGCGATTGTCGATTGTTTCTTAGCAAATTAACTGTTAAGTTGCACAAAAGATTCAATAGTGTGCGCATCTCCGTAATAGCTCTCGAAACAGAGACTAAACGGTTGTGCGATAGTTCAATCAGAGGTGTGGGCTCGATCTTACACAGACATAATTTACATTGACATAAAAAAAAGAAACGTCCTTGGGAATTACTTAAACAGTTTGGCAAATTATTTATTGTCTTCGTTAGGAATAAAAAAAATACAATACAATATAATACTTCGAATTAATTTTCTGGTTATGAAACATCATGGCATTTCTTCATTGTTTTGGTACAGTTTACTGTCTGCTCAAAAGAAATTCATGGGAAATACACATTATTTTAGGAAGGATTAGATTTACAGACTTAGAATATAAAAATAAATGCATATTGGCATATAAAGTTTATTTACACACAACTTTCAGGTCCTGGTAAATTTTCTGCTAAAACGTGTTCTCTTCTCCTCGGCACTGTTTTGCCCTTATTTCTTTGTAACGTTGAACAAGTTAAGCTTCCTGAACTTAATGAAGGTCCAGTGATACTCATTCGTGGATGGTTCTCGAACGTTGGACTCCCATTACCATTGGGACATACAAAATTAGGGCTACCTAATGTCGGACTGTTTGTAGCTATGAAACTAGGCCTATAATTATTAGAAAACTCCAACGGTAAGTTTTGATTGATCACATCTTCTTGTCTATTATTTGTTACTAATTCGTTACTTGGCGTGAGCTGTAAAGAAATAGTAGTTAATATTTATTACCTGCAGGATAAATAGCAGTTTCTATAATTTACTGTTGTGTGTATTTTAAAAGGTTAATTCACGATTATTATATAATTAATTAAATCATTTGTGTATAACAATAAACCGTTATTAAATTTTTTCTGTCTGTCTGACTGTTTTTTCGATATGCGAAATAGCTGGTCTGGTTTTATAGCAACTTTTACTGGATGACGCTCATGTATCTCAGAAGTTGCAAGCATCACCTAGTGTGTATTTTAATATGAAGTACGAGTATAAGAGGGTAGATAACTAAAATTAATCACATTATGATTTACCTGTTGAGAATGTACTGTAGAATCTAGCATAGCCAGGTCTTCTGCTGAAAACACTGGCCCTGAATTTTCCCAATCACCTAAAAAAATTAATGTTTTAATGTCTATTTTAAATTTTTTAGTTTCCTCAACAATGTTATACTAGAAGAGGTAATAAAGAAAATTTAATCATCGCCGGTATTCTAGAATAGCAAACATTGTACTAGGCGTTTGCCTTAAATTCCACAGTACGCGAGAAAATTGATTTTGTTCCCACTGCTGGCTCTAATGAAATTGTTAGCAGCAACTTTAAATGCTGTTTTACGATTCGCTTTGCGGCGAAGGTGAGTGCTATTTCTACCTTCATGACAGATGTTATGTGCCGTTTACTGATTTCAATGGATTTGTTTTACGTGTGTGGTTTTCATTTTTAGTTTCTCCTTTTTTTCTTCTAACATCCACATTATAAAAATTTATAAATAAATAAAAAAATAGGACTTTTATTGCCACAAAACAAGCTACAAATGAAATCTTTTATATCAACCTTAAAGCTAGTAAAAAAGAAAATGTGGCAAACGGCGGCAAGCTCAGCTAATGCAGAGACGGCGCAGGCCGTTTCTGCGGTGGTTTTCAGCTGGCATCTATTAAATATTATTAAAGAATAATGTTTGTTTTAACTTACTTCGAACTTCCTTTATGGTAGGCCATTCTTCAGCTTCTAACACTTTTTGTGGCGGAGGCTGATTTTCAACATCTGTTAAAAATATGAACATCTCCTTTTTAGCATATTTTCGACATGAATTAAAAATACTAAGATAAGATAAGATGTGACATACCAGAAGCATTCAAAATATCAGGTTGTGGATCTGGAGTCTTGGCTTCTGATGGCTTTATGGTGTAAGCGACCACGTATCTGCGTCCACCGTCGCTTAGTTCCAGCATATCTCCCGGAGGATGTTTGTGTGGGGGATGAGAACGACGACGACGGGAGCATACGGCTCCTAACGCTATACTACCTATTGCTAGAGTCGCCCCCAACGCTGCGGCGACTACCACCCCCATGGTTATATTCCCCATAGCACTTTTTCCATCTAAATAAAATAAATGTTAGTCAATATGAAGTTTTCTTAGGAAATCAATGTTACAGAGTAAAAACTATGGGTGAATTCTGTGAATTTAGATGTGATGTTATGAAGAAAGAAAGAGAGAGAGAGAGAAGTACAAAGTTAATGTTTAAAATATTCTTTTACCTGTATGTTTAGCTGCGTCATTGAATGCAATGTTTTCTAGAAGTGTCCGTTCCGATTCACCTTTCAAATTCTTAGCATAGATCAGAATATTAAAAGTCGCTGCATCGTTATCATTTCCTGTCGATACATGTGTTACGTCTAACCAAAATGAAGCCATACCATCTAAAAGAAAGGTCAAATATAAGTAATATTGTTGAATGTTTTAATACTGATCTTATTGTATCTGTATCTTCGTTGAATCTAGAAGTTTTATATTCACCTGACTCCGCGACAGATTCAGTATATCGAGTTTTCCCTGTAACAGGATCTAATGCTTCCAGTACAAAGGACTGTGGCAGACCACCGTCGTAGCCCGCCACACAGTAAACCTGCAGTAAATTGCTGTCTCCTTCTGTGTTGTTGCTAGTTTTTAATGAACAGTTGCGCGGCGGAGACGGTCGTGCTGAAATAAAACCGTGGATTAACTTACATTGAAATGAATATGTTTGAAAAATTGATTGTATTTTATTTATTTGTCTAATAGTTTTACCTTTGGTAATATGTGTACCTATAACATTAGATATGTTGCGTTTAGACCCAGAGATATAAGTGTTCTCAGAAGTGGTACAGTTGAGAACAAATAAATACATTATAAAGTACTTATGAATTCAACTATATTTACTGAGAAATATTCAAAGCGTATAAAATAGAGTCATGGTAATAAGATATGAGACTATAGATAGCTTACTGGCAGGAACTATCTGGAACACACAAGGTTCGAGTTGCCGACCGACGGAGTTGCTGCCGCGACAACTGAGCGTGCCGTAGTCACGTTCGCTCTGCGGCTTGTAACTTAATTCGCTTGTGCTACCGTTTGTTATTCCTGTTGCAATAAAATGTTACATAGATATTCTATCTGTATAATATTTTTAGCGATTTGTTTGTGGCTTAAACCATCAGCAATCTAATCCGTTAACATTTATATCATAAATATATCTTAACTATTTGAAACATGGCTGATATTTTACGTAACTTACCAAATTTAGCAGGTGCGACATCAAGACTTTCTCCGCTATTGTTAAACTGCCAGAAGAAGGTAACATCGGGCGGGTTCGCTTTGACTGAGCAACGAACTCTGAGTGTCTCGTCCAGTTGTGCGCCGAGCACTTGCGGCGAAGAGAGAGCACAAACTGGAGCATCTATCAACACAGATTTGTTGGAATTTAAATAGCCACTTATTATTTTAACACAGTCAGATGACAAGAGTTAATCTTTGGTTTTAGATTGAAGCATTCGTCAGCAACGAAGTCGGAAATTTCAAGTTGGATAAAAATTCAAACAACCCTATAATTGTACATATTCAATGTTGTTATTTAGTAATTTACTGGCCTTGTTAAAAACGTTTAGAAAATAAAATAAATTTAATACAAAAAACACTCATACACATATTAATTAGAAAGACGAGATACGGTTTAATGCAATTTATGCGTCGCTATAATCACTGCATCCGCTTTACAAAAAGGTTTTAGAAATTATAAAGCAAAAGCGAGGGTGTGAACTCTGTTCGTTAAATCATAACAAGAAAGTTAGATGATATATTCATTTTATCGCTATACTGTTCTTCACTGGTAAAGTTCAGTGACATAGAACAGTAGAAAGTGCAGTATTACTATCGGATGAATGTGTTAAAATAGTGTAGGAAAATTTGAGACAGGGTGTTCGTAACGTCATCAACTTTTTATGCTAGATTTGTCTCAGAGTGTGTGTTAAAACCATTGCAGTACTTTTGTGTCCTACAGCTCTGCTCTCTGTGAACCTAGCAAGACATGATTCATTTAGGTGCCTACTTAGAAAACTTCGCTGTGAAGTTTCGCGTGTTTCTTAAAAATTTACACGTTTGCTTGCTTTACTCTTTACTTTAAGGGTTACATTTATCGCAATCTAATATGTTTACTAGATGTGTTCAATTATTTATCTATATTGTTAGATAGAATAGCATTTTTCAAAACCTACAATGTAAAGAAGTAATGAGATTAATGGAATGTGAACACAGTAAACGATAAACTTTACTAGTTCCGTCGCTTAGTAAGATATGTGCACAATAATGGAATAAATAAATTCAGTATTATGTGAAAAGGAATTCAATAGAAGGTAAATTTGTCGTCAATTGGCTCGTCACAGAAACTCGGTGGATATAAATTTCGGGGACGCTCTCAGCGAATGATTGATGTACGTTTACACTCACAATACTGAATCATTGTCACGGCATTTTCTAACCTAGCAGAGGGTCTATCACGAATATTCCGTGACAGTTGCGAAAATGTATTCGTAACGTCGACAAAATTTGTATAAGATTTCTTTGTGTACTTTGTTACAAATTTTATCGATGACGTTACGAAAATGTTCTAACGAATATTCGTGATAACCTCTGTTATAACATTGATTATTATTGACATAAAACGAATCCCCGTAGATGGAAGCAGTTTATATAACAAACTACATTTCTATAATTATGATTGATCTGTTTTCGATGAACGCTAACTTTCTTTCAGTCCGAGTTGTATGATTTATTGTGTTTACAAACATAACATTGATGGTGTAATCAGTGTAGATTTATCAAAAAACAAGAGTAATTTAATTGTATAATTACTCTTTGGAACAACCTTTTTTTCAGACTGGCCATTTAAACAAAAAAAAACAAGTGACACCTTTAACAGATCTTATTATCATACAAAAAACATTTTTAGTATTGAACACATCTCTTGTGATAAGCTGTGTCTCGTGTGAATTAGCGAACCGAGTACTTTAGGTGCTTGGTCAAAACCCTGTTTATTTTTTAATAAAAAAGTCACTAACATTGTATACTGAGGTGCGTAGTCTGGCTGGCGGTCTCGCCAAGCGCGTTGGTTGCACGGCACGAGTAGTCTCCGCCGTGGTCGCGGCTCACCTTCTGCAGCGCGAGGGACTTCGTGCTCACTATCACGCCCGCTATCACGTTATGTAACACTGCCTTATCCTGAAAACAAACTTTATTGAAGTCCAGAATCGTTTATAGTTTGAAAGACCATACGCTTAAGAAGTGAATTCAGATATGACAGCGGATAGAGATGTATGGAAAAGCATCACAAACTATACAGAGCCTCCGTCGGGACAAAGATAAGCTGATGATGATGATGATATAAGAAAGATCAACATATCTATATACTACAAGTGATAAGACGTAAATTCATGGCTAGTAAAATATACGTTCGCATTTATGAATGCCTTTTGTCTGCGACTTCCATGTGGAATAAAAAAAACACTTCAAAAGTAGACTCTGTATTCTTCTATAGTATGTTCTAAATCTATGGTAATTTATAATAACTAATACAAAAAAAATTACAAGAAAATAAAAAATAAAAATCATAGCTAGCTACACTTTTATACAATAATAGCTGTTGCTCGTGACTTCGTCCACTTGGAATTCGTATATAGTACAAAATATAGCCTATGTAAATCACTGATAACGTAGCTTTTTAATAATGTTTTTTTAATAAGCCCAGTAGTTTTTGAGTTATTTTAATACATACAAACATTTGTATTACAACATAAATATGTAACTACAGAATAAAATAACTCACATTATGATACCACGTGATGCGATGTTCCCTCGGGTTGGCACGCACTGAACACTCGAAATACACGTCGTCGCCCTCTTTGATGTCGTGAGGGTTGAGCGTGCTGCCCAGTGACAATGACACAACAGGCGGGTCTGTGACAAGGTTGCGACAAATACACACAAATTACACATTAATTTACTCACGGGTAAACAAACAGACACATTTACAGCCGTGAAATTATCAAATAAGAAAGACATAATTATTAAAACGCATTATAACATGATTTCTTTTTACTTTTTGCTTCTATAGAATTGTAATAGCAGTATAACAATATTATAAATAATTATACGTGTAGTGCGGATTATGTATTTTATTTCTGCATTGCGAACATACGTTAGAGACCGCTGAGTACTATACATGTCGCCCTTAGGGGACGAGCATGAGGACGCGATTGCACAATCGTTTTTCTGTAATACATTAAAATATTAATCTTGTTTAATATGCGGTTTACTAATAACAAAAATTGTACTTTATTTGATTCAGATTTGATTTGTGGTGCGTTATATAAACTGAGTGATTACCCACTGGGGGTAAATGACTTGAAATGGGACGTCGAATTCGGTGTCTGGTTAAACACTCAGGTAAAGCGGTTATCTGCGGCGGAAAGCACGTGTTGACACTTTATTGGCCATTAAAGACCTATAACGATGTCGGACCGTTACAGGGGGAACGTTCATCCCCGAAATAAACATTTACGACGGCTCGCGTTTAAATTGTTGCCGAAACGATTCGCGCACCGAGCGGGGTTATTCTCAACGTTTTAAATGCGTTACGGTTCGTTGAGCAGAAGTAAATAGAATTTATTTATTTTCGAAAATTAATTTCCCTTGTTGTTAGAGAATGGAAGGTTCTCCGTTATCACTGAATGATAATTCTAAGTGCCTTATTTGTGTAGAATTATCATTATAATTTAAATATATTAGATAACAGTAGCTTTAAATATATTACCATTTACTCGTAAATACAATTACATGTTAATATTAAAATGTCTCTGTATATTCTTAGTTACTGAAGTTATCTAGTCGATGGCGCCTGAAAGTGTTAGTTTTATAATTTTTATTACATCTTATCAGCGAATGTTAGGAAAGTATATGGAAATATATGAACCTTATTTAATTTATGTGAGAGCATTATGAAATTCATCCGAGAGCGGCGAGCAGTACGGCAGAAACAGTCGACGGCTGTAGTTTGAATTAGTTTTTAGGAAGTCCAACGGACGTTAACTGTTAGCATAAAGAGAATGCAACATAAGTAAAAAGATTTTAATTACATTTCGTGTTTCTCTTGTTGGCTTATACGTTTTAATAAAGTTTCGCTGGACGACCCTTTGAATATGTTTCAAATTTGTTTGTTCAAAAAGGAGTAACATGAAATGGGTAAATGTTAAAGTTTCAAGGATCTGTCTGTTATTTTGTTACACATTTTGATCTGAAATGTTTGTGATATGTTTAATGTTTTACATTAAATGTTATAATGAGTTAAACAGTGAAATAATTTGTCTTTATTTGCGTAGTTAGTTGAATTCCGCAACGACGAGGGTGAATATTAAAGTAAATATACACAGTTGTGATAAGCCAACAAGGATGTTGGACAAATTATGACCTGTACTTAAAACGTTTGGTATGAAATATGTCAAACTTATAGTACACTAGTTATAAACTAGTTACTCTGGCAGTCCGCATTTAGAGTTGATTAATTGATATCAGTCGTTCAAAATAAATTTAGTCTTCACTAAGGACATTAAGCGTGTTCAAGTGTGGAACTATACCATGAATTGTGTTTTGCAATGGATGTCTTATGCTTATACAAATGAGTTATAAGTTTTTATCATCTACAGTACAAACGTTATTTCAAAAAGTATCAAGACTAAGAAGTCGAAGTATAAACGTTGAAATATAAAGTCATAAGGGAGCAGAACATAATCCTTACAATCAAATCCCCATGCGAATGTCTCCGTAGAGTGGTGCTCGTAGCGACAAGAGACCGTTGCTACGCGGGAAGTGCTAAGTACTAACGATAATTAAGCTTAACGCCGCTAAAGATGTGCAAACTGGTTAAGCTGAGCTCCTTTATTGCTTATTTTGTAACAATATTCCTTCCAACATTTCTTGAAAGTGTAATACTTGAAGTGTGTGAATGTTTTAGATATTTGAATTAGGTTATAATTTGAAATAAGCTTAATTTACCAATCGATACAAAATAACCTAAAACAGATTCATACTAAAATACGATTTTAAGGTTTACAATGGTTTCTTAACAAAACAAGCTAGCTTCACAAGGTTTTAATGCAATACATCATGGAACTGTAACACAAATCGAATTTAATTATGTTTACTTAAATCAATTTTACTTACAAACAACATCTAACTTAAACGCATCTTCAATACTCTGTCCGGGCATAGCGCTGTTGTCCGCTTGGCATTTTAGGTACAGGCCATCATCTTCGGGCATCGGCATGAACTGTAGGTTACTGCTTACCCATGTGTCGTTAGCACCTTCTACCACCTGCAATAAAACTACCTGGTTAAAAACAATGATAATATCAAGCTGATATTTGTATGTGACCGTATTTCTTAAAATAATTGAGATACAAATAACTAACTTTTATTTTTAACTTTATTTCAGCATATCAACTTGTCAAAACCAGTATCAAGAATATTACGTACACTGTACAAAGTCTTCCTAGAGATTATTTTAGAATCATAACACTTCAATGCCTTGGATTTGTCGAGTTCACTTATATGCAAATATTTCTTAGTGGCATACAATGTGTTAAGTAATAAAATGTGTATCTTTAATATTATCTAAAGTTGCAGAAATACAAACTTAAACTATGAACTACTAGGTGTCGCCCGCAACTCCGTCCGCCTATGTGTTCTTCCTATCCTCTACATTCTCCACATCTATACAAAATTTCATCGAAATCCGTTCAGCCAAACAAACATCCATCGTTTTCGCATTTATAATATTAGTATGACTTTTTAAGTAACATTTACCTTTCCTCTTTTAAATTTCCTGTTGTTCTTGTACCAAGTGAGCTGAGCAGGCGGTCGACTTCCTTCCGATACGCAGAGCAGACTGACATATTTCTCAGATGATAATGTCGTTGGCTTATTTAGAATTTCAACTAAAGTTGGTTTCACTAAAAACAATAATGCATTTTAATTGCTAGTAAAATAGTATAGGTCGATTGTTTCTTAACACTTGGTAATTTATTTATTTTTCTTAAATACTTAGGAAAATCAAAGTAAGAAAATAATAATTTTATTAATTTTAGTCCTTTAAAGGTCAGAATTGAAAAATATAAGGTATTTATAAACAAAACTTTGGATAGAATCAAGCAATTAATAGGTTAATGAAACGTATTAGTGAAATGTTACTTCTACCCACGTATTTTTCGTAAGAAACGTAAGGTTTTTATTTCGTTTTGAGACTGAAATAAAGTGGCCTCGTCCTTAAGATTGTTTCTCCAAGTTTCCTAGTTAAAGTTTAATCAAACGTCAAATGTTGGTCGACAACAACCCCAAGGGCTTACAACTTAATTTACTCAAAGAATTCACTTAGAAATTTCAGTGGTCCTGTATACACAGTTTATTTATATCCAAGGAAATACTAGGAATAGAACCGGATAAATGGAAAAAGTATTTTTTTAACATTATACAGATATTTAGTGCAGTTATTATTAGAAATTATCGGCTCACATAATACACGTTTGTTCAATTCATCATTCAATTTCATGAACTCCACCATTCATTTATAATGACCAACAGTAATACATATAATGAAAATATTTCTCGAAAATAAATTAAAACGGTACATACAATTCATTTCCAGTCTGACCATCTTCTCTTGTGGACTGACGAGATTCGTGTTAGAAGCACGACATTTGAACGTCGTATTCAAATGTGTCCGTTTGATATGCGGCAACTCCAATCGGTTCACCACCACGTGTGTATCCGTCTTCTCGCCAATGTATTGCGGTGCTGGCGTACCATCTATCAGCCAAATTACCGTTGGCGCTGGTCGTCCTAGAAGAAGAGTTAACTCTTAAATACCTAAAGTTTCAGATTTGATATCGGGGTTATAAATCGTATTGGGCAATAACAATCGATTTTATTTTAATATTACTGTTTGCATGTTACCTTTGACTGATAATTTTTAAGTTAGTTAACAAAACGGAGCCGATCACGAAAGTATTTGGTGGTATGGATTTTTCGGCAACAAGTTAGAAGGGCAATATTTCAAAATCTCGTTTTGATTTTTATTACTTTCCCCATTGTTAAAGACAGTAAATGGTACACTTATATATTTTTTAATTTGATTTAAAAATCAGGCTTTTAATGGTTAAGAATTATAAGACCGATTTTCACTAAGCGATTGAATGCAACCTACAGAAATTGCCTCATATCCAGGGACGTAATCGAACAATAGTTTGAAACAGTTTCTTGGAAATATCAAAACAATTTGTTGTGGTGAAATGTATGTTGTTACTTTGGTTTTGATTTCATGTTATGTAAGTTATGAGGTAATAGATCTCTTAGTGGCGTAGGATTGGACAGTACACAACTTGAGAAACACTTACAAGGGATGGACATTCCAACTTCATTCCCGCTTCTATATCAACTACTTATGAGTTACAAGCTATGTATTTAGATATACGTACATAATTGTTATGATATTACATTTTTATTTGTATTTCAGTGTCTGTAAAGAAATACTAATATGTGAATTTAGTACAATATATTTCGATATGCTAAATATTTCCACGTAATTACTAACTTGATGTTTGCTGATTTTTTGTGACGTAATTGATTTCTATTTAACATGGGGTTTAAAGTAAGATAAAACCCTGTGTTTATATTTAAGTATTAATACAAGTACAAATACTTGAAAAGCCTATAGTTCTGCTTCTCATCAAATTTAATCCTTCAGATAACATTGCGTGTATACGAGTAGGTTTATTTTAACATGAACTGAATCAAGAACATTCCCTTTATATTATATTCAAAATTACACCAAGATTTACGCAATAATTTAACTTAGAGTCAAATAAGGTGGGATAGTTTACGAGCGAGTTTAACAGACATGTCTCGGCGGCTTCGGTTTTAATAACGTTACATCAGAGGCTGACTAGGCCTTCCTACGATTATTACATGAACCTAAATATCTAGAATAGTTATTTAAATTTATCAATAAATCATATTAATATTATAAATGCCAAAGTTTAGATGGATTGATGGATGTTTGTGAGAGTTTGTAAGCATAGCAACTGAACGGATTTCGATGAAATTTGGTACAGATGTAGAGGGTAGTCTGGATACTCACTTTTTTTTTTAATTCCGCGTGGATGGAGTCGCGGGCGAAAGCTAGTATTTTATAAGATCTTCGTAAACTGTTTAAAAATTCTATGCAGTCTTAAATCATCGATGAATCATTTTGTTTGAGACATACACTTTTATCTTCATTTTATTGGCCGTTAAATATATGATAGTTATCTATTTCTTATTACAGCTATATTCGTGGATAGATTTCAGAGAATTATTATTAGTTATCTGCGATTGATCCAAGAGGATTTGATAAGATCTAATTTGATGGAGCTATCGTCTTGCGAATTTTCAACGAAATAACTAAATACAATTATATTTAAACTATAATATGTTGCGGGATATCAGATTTTCTGGTCTAAATAATCTTTTTAAACTCTTGTACGATTTTATTTCGGTATATTTGATAGTGGTTTTAAATTTATATATAGTAAATTGTTTCAGAGACCTATTTTTACTCTTTGTTATTGGTATATTCATAGAATAATGCACAATAAGTTAATAGAGAGCTAACATGGACAAAAGCGACGAGTTTACAAAAACATTTCGGTTACACTACTTTTATATCGAATTCAAAGAAAGTATTTCATTTTGCGACCTTAGCGCGCTTCGTTCACTATATTATATTCAACATTCTATTGTCGTGCGATATAAAAAAAACTAATAAAAACCAAGCATGCAGAGTTTTAAGTAATTAAACTATGTGCTAAGAATAGTAATTACAGAGCGAAACTTTTACAGAATCCGCGACGAAGATAAAAGTATAAGGTTACCGGGATCTCGTTTTATTGCGCGAACTTTAAATCATAAATTACAATGAAATTGTGAAAAGTTCTGGATGCCACTTCCAGTCTAATTTTGTGTTTGATTCGGAGTTCCCCTCCCCCGGTCCGCACCCCCTTTGCTATCGTATCTCGGGGCGATGGATAACTTTACATCGGGTACCATTTGGTGCCGATCTCGCTGTGTGACTTATCGGCAAGTTTAAGAGCAATATATCAAAGTAATCGGTTTAATTTCTCATTTCCCTGTTGGGAATAAGTTATGGTACATCCTGACTGATGTCCTTTTGATTTGAGATATACCAGAGGGGAATAGTGTATGCAATAGTTTTCTACTTTTATCAACGATTGGTATCTTACTACTATAAATAAGAAAGTTTAGATAGTGTGTTAGTTTGTAGCCTAAACTGCTGACTTATCTCGATGAAACTTGACATAGCTGTAGAGTATACTCTGAAAGAACAGAGGCTACTGACTTTTGTTTTTTTTTTATTCCACGCGGACGGAATCGAGGGCGAAAGCTATTTAATAATTAAAGTAATGATTTCGGAACGCGAATAGGTAAACTATTCTAGATTTCACTATTTTATTCAATAGGTTTTGTCTGCAAATTCGTCTGCGCGGAATTAAAGAAATTATTAAGTGGCCTATTTGTTCCATCTGACTAGGTCATCTGTTCCTAATTTTATCGAGATTAGTTAAACCGTTATGGACAAAACTTTCGCATTTAATATTTGTATGAAGTATAAGTAAATAGTCTTACCTCCTCTTACTTCACAGATTAGAACTAATTCATTTCCTTCCTCCAATGGTCCGACTACACCTGACACGTCTCTCCCCGACTTATCGTACAGAATGAGTTGATGTGGTGGAACTGAAACAAAATTAATAACATTAAAACAGAAAACAATGAGTAAGTAGGAAAGAGCGCTTGCCACAACGCTATAGCCCATATAAAATAAGGAAATTGTATTTTGTTAATTAAATGCCAGTATGTAAGTCAGAGACTCAAGAGATTTTTTTTATTTAAAATACTAAAATTAGCACCTCGTGTAGCTATTTCCGAGTCTGCTATCGGTTCACTCACAAAATATGTAAAACCTACAGGAAACTAGAAAATTGTGACCCTTCTTTAACATTGAGAACAGAGCGCTAGTCATTGAGTTCGACTTATGCCCAACGGGTTTGATATCCTTGTCCTATACTTCGTTTTACGTAATGTAATGTTTTGGTATTTAAAAATCATGTTTTTATAATATGTTATACTAACAAAAAAAAATTGAACCCTACAAATTGGCTCTCCATTGTATATTAGATTTTAATCTTAAAAAAACATAACGTAAGTGAGGTAGAGTGTGGGAATCGTAATATCGTACAGCCTCCGTCCCAACTAAAGGACAAGAATTGCTTACGACGGGTCGCCTATTACTTGTAAATGCTTTTGTACTCTTACATACCGCTGCCAAGCCCTTCGACATTATGTACTATCGTGTAAGCAATTGAATAATTCAGCATTGTATAGAAACACAATGGGATTTCCGTATCGTTCCCATCTTGAAAAGGGTTATATGTATTGAATAAAAAGGGATTTTACTAAAATAGTTATGTTATATATTTTCCTCGATTATAAATATTTTACCCGTATTTGGTTATAAGAACACTCTTTGATTAAATTTGTACATATAAGAAACTAGCTGTTCCCCTGCGGCTTCATCCGCATGAAATTATGAAGATTTGATTGTTTACATTTGTCAAATAATCAATTGTGAATGTCAAAATGACATGACATGATGACAAAGCATGGCAACTTTGCTTCTTTGATGTTGGCAGTAACTTATGATCACTTTCCTACATTGGGTTTTTTATCCAAAATATTTACCCCCTGAGTTTAATGGCGTGAAAATATATAGCCTAAAGCGTGACGTAAGTGTAGGGCTTTTTATTAAGAAAAGAATTATTCAAAAATATGCTGTAATTGCTGACATCTTAGGCAACAAAGAAGTGTGTTTACGCTTTATTATCATAGTATATAGATTGGATATATCTATTAACCTTTAATTCGATGTATTCAGTGTGACGAACAACTAATTAACAAAAAATATTTCATGCATTCACCACATTCATCTATCATATCCAAAAGTATGACTACTAAAGAGATCAGATTTTGTTTTTAAAAAAAAAAACTCCTTTTAACAGTGGTAGAGCCCGCTTTAACATCTTCGAACGAATGGGCCGGCTCGCCCGGTGTAATACCACGACTAACAGAAAACAGGCGTGAAGTGGAAGCAATTCGGCTGATGAGTTTGGTGCCGGAGGCCTAATTTTAGTCCATTTCCCTTTCCACCATTTTCTTAAGAGGAAAGGTAGGAAGGCAAAGTGGATTTGACGGTGGAGGGGGCGTATACGAAGGGGAAATGTCCTCTTTATGTGCGGCCATTCCTCCGACTATTAAGGGTAGGCAATGCATCTGCAATTGCGGATGTTTATGGGCAGCGGTGAATTTCCATTTCGGTGGATTCAGGTGGCCGCTTACTCGTTTGTCACCTTATATTATAAAAAAAAACTCCGTCGAATTAAGGGTTTACAAACAAATAGAACTATTAGTCTTGAAAGATAGATATTTTATAAAAAATATTACACAAAGAAAAGTCGAAATACTAAAGTATGGGAAATCTAAAAATTTAAATCTTTTGGTAATGTAAAGAATAGTTTTGAAAATAAATGTTTCAAAAAATAAACAATACAATTACTAAAATAATATTTGTTTTAAGTTTCAAGGAAAATGTAACTTTACAATTGGTTTTCATATAATAATTTCAGTCGAGGAAATCAAAACGCTAATCTGTATTTCTGTTTACATTTAACTAAAAGCAGTTCTAAAATTGGTTAGATAAAATTAATATAATTGTGTACAATTTTAATAAATCTCATGGTCAATTCATCACGAAGGCGACGTCGAAGTGCCTAACAAGGGTTTGATGTAGCGATAAAGCGTACAGCTTAGATTACAAGCGAAATTATGGCTTCTGAATTATGCATTAACTCGGAGCCGAGTTGTGAAGTTTGGTCTCGGAAGTGAAAACTGACTAAATCGGTCGGAATGTATTTAAATAATATTACAACAATACTAAATAATACCGTTACGTTTTCGATGATTCATGCTTACTTGATGTATTACCGAAATCTTTGAACCATCAAGGCAGAAAGTCGCAATTCAATTACTATGCTGCGCGTACGAGTATAGTTACGCGGTGTTATGTAGTATAGTAGTATCTGTTCCCGTGCAGCTTCATCCGCATGAAATGAAAATTGTATTTTCTCGTTTACATTTGTCAAATTATCAATTGCAAATGTCGAAATGAACATTACAAACCATGGCAACCTTGCATCCTTGATGTTAGCAACTTGTAGTTTACGGTCCCTTTCCCAATTTATTTCTCCCCTATGTTAAATAGCGTAAAAATGTATAGCCTAATGAAGTCGTAAGTATAGAGGTTTTTATTAGAGAAATAAGTATTGAAAATATGCTGTGGTCGCTGACATCCTACGCTACATAGTAGTGTGTTTACGCTTTATTATATTAGTATACTCGTAGATGACATGACACACGCGTTAAAGACTATCAGTTACCTAGAATATATATAGGAATTAAGAGCGGAAAAGTAGTTTGCCAAATAGCAAATCTAAATTCTAAATTCAAACTATTTGTTAAACGTTCGGAAAGCAACCTTTTTGATAATAGCCCTTGAATAGAATATTTTATTTATATACAGTATATTATGTATGTATTTTATATAATTTTACAAAAAAAAACATGTCATAAAACTATCCTACATCACTACGACACTCTACATATGTTGTATTGTAAATTGTAACCAGCGCACCCGCGGACAAACCAATTATATGGTTTTTGCGGGGCCATATTTGTGCATATTTTTTAGTTTGTTTCTTGTTATATTTTCAATAAAAAAAAATATTAACTTACACTACCTATTCACAGAACTCTTGAAAGTTGGAGAATTTAATACTAAGAGACTAGTCTAGATTAATCAATACCAGCTATAGTTTAGATTACAGATAAAATTAAATATTGTTTTGAGATAAAACATTTGAAATAGCAATCATATTTGTTTCTTACATATATCTTGTTAATGTAATATTCCAGACATATAAATGTACTTATTGTAAAATTATTTGCTGTATTGTTCGAGAATAAGCGAGAAATGTAAAATGTATAAGGTTCGTACGAAATCTGTTTGAATAATTGAAAGTAAGTTTCAATGTTCGTCAGCTCATTTCTTATAAGAAGGGATCAATACCCGCTCTCAGCTGCTCACTGCTAACTTGTTTCATTAAATTCAAATTTCGTGTTATACTTATTAATTCAGGCGGGCGTTTTCTTCGCACGTCTCAGCTACGGCTGCTTTTTATATTCTTATCGTCTCCGCTTCCAGTGTTGAAACTTTTTCGAGAATTTCGTCATTTCAAAAGTATTTTGTCGTTGCGTTTATTTTAATTGTCACGTTTGAAACGGTTTGTTTTTATTAAGTTGTTTATGTTTTTGCGTTTTAGTCTGTTTTTAATACTTTTTCATAGCGTAGATTAACTTCGGAAGTACAGAATAGAGTATGCATTTGCGTCAAATAAATCTACCCAAGAATGTACATACATGACTTAAATGTTTGTTAAACCAATTAAATAACTAAATAAATAATTTAAAACAAAGTTTTACTGATTGAAAAGTTACCAAATTACACACATAAAAAAATATTTTTTCTTACTTATAACTTACAAATAGTTAAAACTCTACATAACTACACTATTAAATATGTAAGTAGAGTATACTTGGTGTAGAACACTACCTGGCCGATGACTTATGCTTACAAAATACCGCACCAAGCCCCCACTTAACCGTTACTTATTGCTTCACTTAACTCAAAACCCTACCTAGCAAAGTATTGCTAACGGAAGTACGCTGAGCGGGGACGTACGTAGGTCTCTACACATGAATTACAGGCTGAAACAAATTACTTTATTCACTCTGCGGATGTTAGACATGTTATTTTGTAACAGAGATCACAGTTATAGATTATTGTACTCTTAGTTTTATCGAATAGTTTTTTTTAAAAAAACGAGCGGCGTTAACACCAAGGTGGTCAACGACGCCCATGGACATCCGCAACACCAGAGGAACTACAGATACGTTGCCGGCCTTTGAGTGTATAGTTTGAAATAGTTGATACGGACATATAATTATCAATATTATTTTATAAATACTGTGTTAATAAAAAGTAAGCTTATCATGTAAAGTCGAAAGAGTAGTTTATTTTTTAATTAAAATGTATTTTTATCTCGTTAAATTTATATCAAATGTAAATATAAAAATTAGCTAACTTAAGTTAACATAGTACTATAATAAAACAAACAATAATAACTATTAACAAAATATAAAGTACATTTAAAATAGCTTAAATATCAGAAATAAAATGTACCCAGCACACCACTAGTCCCCCGGGGCGTAGCTCGTTTACATTTTAAAATTCCGCGATAAACACGTGTAGATAGTGCAAACATAATAAATTTTATAGCCAAGCAAAGTGGGCCGACATGTTTCAAGAATTACACTAATTATTTTCTAATTCTAAATATTTGAATTAAATTTGTTGTACTTAAAATACACCATACTTAAACATATATTTTTACTCAGCTTTATTGTGGAGATTTCTTAATATGGATTTGTAAACACGTTGTCACGACATTATTTTAAATGTTAGAACTATTTTTTTCTTAGTGAAAGTGATATACAGGATGATTCTTAACGGAGGGATCAACGGCTTTTTGGAGGTAGAGGACCTCAATACCTATCATTTAAAGGCAAATTTTTTTTTTGACTTTTTATACTTTTAAATTTATTCAAAGTTTTGAAAAAATCTGCCTAGACGATAACTATTGAGGTTCTCTCATTCCACAAAACCGTTGATCCGTCCGTTAAGAAACATCCTGTATACAGGTTTATACAGTTTGAAACAAGCTTTTTCAATATGCGTCATCATCAATAACCTGTCTTTTTCCCTGCTGAGATTAAATGAAATTCTACTATACCTAACCTAACTCTTGTAGCCCTGAACTCTTATGTATATGACAATTTATTGCCTAGTATTTTGTGCTTGCTCGTTGACTTTTTTTGTTACGGCAACATTGTTCCTTCAGACGTAATATTGCTGTATATTATTGTAATAACACTCTCGAGCTTCTTTGAAGGAAACTGTGGTCGTATATAACCTCTCATTTTCCTTACCGAAAATTCAAAGGAGCTCCAACAAAGCTTTGTTTTGCATCGCTAGCTAGACGAAAGCCACTGAAAGGCTGCCTTTTTAGATAAGGTTCTCTTATTCAGGGGATGGAATAGATTTTACGAGTTAAAATTGTTCGGCAATCGAATAGGCCGCAACGAACATTGCCGTTTACGTAAGATTCAGGATTTTCTTACGTGGCTCGTATACAGTATTGTAATAGAGAACCGAGAACTTACTATCTTAGGTACATAGAATAAAGGAATGCTTGGATAATGTTCTCGGCAACTTTTCATATGCTTAACTTAATCTGATGCTTTGCCAATGTATTTATTTACAGAAATAGACTTAAGTATGAAAAAAATAATCAATGCAATTTTTTTATCTTGAATAAATAACTTACCGATAACTGTTAATCTTATTTGAAAGTTCCTAGTAGGTGAGTTCTTGAAGTCGACCCGACATCTGTACACTCCTTCGTCGTCAAGTTGTACCGTGTCAAGCGTGAGTACAGCGGGTCGGGCCACGGTCACGAAGTAAGCACGCGGACCGAACACGTTCGGGTCAGACCACTGCAACGCCTTGTCGAATGAACGACCGCGAACGTCGAAACTGGAAACGGATAATCTGTTGTTTTATCTATGTTAGGTTATTTTTTTAGGTTTAATTTATATTTATCTCTTTTTTATAATTACTTATTATTTTAACAGGCAATATAAAGAGAATCAAGTTAAAAGTTTGAACACTTCGCGCAGCATAAACAAATTTAGAAAGCTCAGAATAGATTTTCCGAATTCGATTCATTACGTAACTTACAAAACGGTTAATCCAAGTGACGGTTCAAAGAACCTTTATTTTTCCTTTGCAGCTAAGTCCCTAAACAAATAACATTTGTACTAATGTCGAGGTAAATATGAAACACGAGGACGGGACCGACAAAAATGGCGGATTGATTTACCGAACAAACTGCCGCTCGATAACCAGAACAAATGAAGTGAATTAGACATTGTTATTACTGGCGATGTTTCAGGAGAAATTATTACTATTATAAACAGACAAATAAATATACTCTTCATATTTATCACATGGCGTATTATTTAGATGTTTTTTAATACTTACATAATATAGGTTATATTATTTTTATCAACTCCTTGAAAACTTTGTTAATAGATTCATCGCCTTCTTAAGGCCGATCTCAATTAATTTAAATATATTTTATAGTAGAGATGTAAATTATTTGAAATAACATTTTAAAAATTAAATGTTTTTTAGAATTTACATGGTTATTTTCTAAAGAAATGACATTTACGTAACAATTTAATGTTGCATCTGTTCCCCATTACACATATATATTGAACCACTAAAAATAGTTTTAAATACATATAACGTAAGAAATATGCGTTATAATGATAGACTTGGCATAGAAATATTAAAGGTACATTTAGTCCGAGCGTCGGGGAGGAACCACGCCTAATGCGTAAAACCTTATTGATTGTACAACATTAGGCGAGTTTTACTGTATACGACTATGAAACGCTATGAAATATACAAGAAAATCTGTTCGAAAAGGTTCCTTAATTTATCTATTTTATTGTAATGTAAATTATAACAAAGTATTTTAACAATTATATGTTGATAATAAGTACACTGCATTGACAGCTGTTAGATGTTCTAATGTTTTGTAACTTGTAAATTTATTTCAATTATGTAATTTATAATTGAATTAAATTTTCTGATTCTAAATTAAATAATTTGCTCTCACGCTGTATAAGCAACAGGTTACATTAAATTCTCTTTTGTAAGCCAATAGTTAAGACTATAAAATAACTTTGTATTGGTGATATTTTTCGAAATAAACGAAGAAATTTTTGTTTATGATGTTTAAGAAAAATGTTTATTTAGCAGTGAACATTATCTGACAAAACACCTTTACGTAGCTAAACCAAGTCAGGGTTAACTAGATATAAAAGATGAAGAAATACATAATATCAACACACATGAATTATTTTTACTATGATTTCAAAGTTGTAAACTATATTTTTGTAGTGTGTGGGCAGTGTAAACCTACTGTAATAAAGGTATCACGTACCTGTATATAGGTTTTCCACCAGTAACCTTGCCTGCGCGGAACCAGAGCACCATGTAGACGCGGTCCTCGGCAGCATCAGGCGTGACGTCACACGGAAGGCCAGCCGTACGGCCTAGCACTGCGTCTACGTCCACCGTGGATACTGTGGACAAAAAAGATATTTACTTACTCCACTGATGTTGGTAATTATTTCTTAAATTTATTGATTAATCGGTTCTCTTGCAAGGACAAGCATAATGGACTAAAATTTCATATTAAATACAAAAATGACGTGTATCCTATAATAAAAATAGACTATTAGCGCGTCCACATCTTTAACTAATAAATCGCACAACTGTTTAGTCACGCTTTTATGCCTATGATCTGATATGGAACTGCGCACACCACTCGATTTTTAGGTTGTGCAACTAAACAGTTGAATGGGCTGCGAAACAATCGACAATCGCAAAACATTTGTACCATAGTTAAGTCAAAGGTGTACGCCCGCTAACTATTAAGTACTGAAAGTAATGTAAACCACTAAATAATCTTAATACATTTACGTACAACGTTCAGCATTCGACTTTGCAAAGAACATAAAGGACGTTTTTTATTTTATTTCTATAGCGTTAAGGATCTTAGCTTTCTTCCACACCGGGGAGAGTAAAAGAGTATGAAAATAAATAGCTGTAATATTAAATGTACTGCAGCGGCACCGCATGAAATAATCTTCTTTTCTTAGGGCGTAACTGTCACCGTCTTGAGGCCAAGTAATACAGGCCATCAGTCATGCTTAGTGGGGAAATTTCAATTTACCCGCGAATGAGACCAACCAAATTGAGACGGATTATTTGGTTTGGTTATTTTTAGTGTTTAATTTTATGCTTAAAAACAATTCAATCCCTTGATCTTATGATGCAGGGAGTTGAAGAGATATGTCAGTTTTTAAATCATCACCATCGTCAACAGTCTACTGATGAGCTCGAAGCCTACCCTAAGTTAGGGTGACTAGACCTTAGTCAACCACGCTGGCTCACTGCTGGTTGTTTGACTTCACACATATCTTTGAATTTCTTCGCCGATGTGTGCAGGTTGCAGCACTATGTTTTTCCTTCACCGTAAGAACGTCGGATACATTTTAAACCTTTTTCTTAAACCCTTCTCAAAACCTGATAAAAATGACCGATTTGCGATTTGAACGTTTAGTACTGGTACTAACTTTATTCTGGTCAACTGCAATCAGCAGCAAATGCTAGAATTTCGAATCCCAATATTAAGTAGATAAGAATACTTCAGTTAAATAACGCTGCAGGTAAACTGTCTTGTAATTTGTTACTTTCATTAAATAAAAATTGTACCACACTCAGAAAAAGCGTGTAATTTGACGAAAAAAGTGAAATAGACAAGCATGTAAGAAAAAGAAATTCTTATCAGATGCTTGCGTACCGCAGCTTCCCGCCGTTAAGATAAGGGTAAAGAAATGAAGCTTGTAATCAGGCCCTTTTATTTGTTTAGATGTTAGAAAAATATTTATTTGGCAGAGAATTTCGACATACGTGCAAAACACTACTGTGTTTTGACAAAAACAAGCCAGAAATTAATTATTATAACATCTTATGTAACTTTGTATAAACTCACTGTTTTTGTGGTCTCATAAAAACAAGAATGTACACTAAATGACAATAATGGCGTTAATTTCTTCCCGTTGTTATAAAAAGTAGCTTTTATGCGTCGTTCTCACAATATATTATATTTTTTGTGTCGCCTTGAAGAAATACGAGGGGTGGTTGCGCGCGTGACAGGCTTGAGGGAGTAATATTAATAAAATTATTGTGAAGACACGTAGCGAGCGGGCCTGACCTAGTCATCACATGCGCGGCTCTGAGCCCGCTAAACAGCTATGCATTACATTATTGTTCTAGAAGACAACGGCCGTACGCATACAAATATGCGCTTCGCTTCGGATTCATGTTACGAGTATGTTAGAAAATAGTGGTAGTTTATTTTATACACTAGTTTTCACCCGCGACTCCGTTCCCGTATTAAAAGAAAAAAAGTAAGCAGCCTATGTTTTCGTCCAGACTTTGCTCGATATGCCAAAATTCATCGAGATCCCTTTAGCCGTTTAGGCGGTAAACTAACAAACATCTATCCATCTATCTAAACTTTTACATAATAACATTACGGTGAAAGAACATATGAAAGGATCAAATAGTTTAAAATATATTTCTTTTTTTTTTTTTATAACATAAGGTGGCAAACGAGCAAGCGGCCACCTGAAATCGCCAAAATGGCGAAGCGACCGCTGCCCACAGACATCCGCAATTGCAGATGCGTTGCCTACCCTTATCCGACGGAGGAGGAGACGCACATAAAGAGGATATTTCCCCTTCCTATGCATCTCCTCCACCGTCAAATCCACTTCCTCTTCCCAACCTCTCTTTATAAGAAAAGGGTGGTAAAGAGAAAGGGACTTAAATTAGGCCTCCGGCACCACACTCATCAGACGAAACACGGAATTGTTTCCATTTCACGCCTGTCTTCTGTGTGGTCGTGGTATTACACCGGGCGTGCCGGCCCATTCGTGCTAAGATGTTAAAGCGGGCACTACCACTGTAAATGTATTGTATGTATTTCATGATTAGCTAGATGTAACATTGAACATTGTAACATTTTAATTAAATGATTTAACATTTCATTTAGCGTAATATTGTACACTTGCTTTTCTCCTCCATGTTCCTTAATTTCATTGAACAGTGAAAACATCCGTCGAACGCGCAACCACAAAAGGCCGGTCTAACATTGTCGAATGACTATCGTTTTCCATTTGTTCCGCTGTCCAGAAAATTTTGCAATAAAATTAATCGTTCAATAAAATTGGAGCCCGAACTGAACCACTCATGCGTTAACACTCTTAATTGGACATCACTTTTTTGTACTTTTTTTGTTTTTAATTTAAAATTATGTAACTAAATCGAACGTTTTTTTTTTTAATAACACTGCCAAGTAACAATTTCAGACATTTCAATTAATTATATTATCAAATTATAAAGCTTTGTAGTATTTTCTAACAATTCTACGTATACATGTTTGTTGCTTATACTCCTTATGTCACCTTTAGTAAGTCACTAATCTCATCCATGTCCCAGTTTCTCCATGACTGTAAATTCCAATAAGCCAATAAAATTCTATAATGACCAGCAAAGAAGTATTCTAGGAAAGGCTTAAACGCTAATATGAAAAGTATTGCTGAACAAAAATGCGAATTCATTCACAATTTTCCTTTTAATACCAACCTTATTGTTACTTAAGTGAAACGAATTCTAATCTACTATCATACTAATACTATATTATAAATGCGTAAGTTTAGATGGATTTTTTTTGTAACATAAGGTGGCAAACGAGCAAGCGGCCACCTGAAATCGCCAAAGTGGCGAAGCGACCGCTGCCCATAGACATAGATGCGTTGCCTACCCTTATCCGACGGAAGAGGAGACGCACATAAAGAGGGTATTTCCCCTTCCTATGCATCTTCTCCACTGTCAAATCCACTTCCTCTTCCCAACCTCTCTTTACAAGAAAAGGGTGGTAAAGAGAAAGGGACTTAAATTAGGTCTCCGGCACCACACTCATCAGACGAAACACGGAATTGTTTCCATTTCACGCCTGTCTTCTGTGTGGTCGTGGTATTACACCGGGCGTGCCGGCCCATTCGTGCTATGATGTTAAAGCGGGCACTACCACTGTAAAAGATGGATGAATGTTTGTTAGTTTGCAGCCTAAAGGGCTAAACGGATTTCGATATAATTTGGTAAAGATGTAGAGGATAGTATGGAAGAACGTATAGGCTACTTACTTTTGTATTTTATAATTCGACGCGGACGAAGTCGCGGGCTAAATAAGTTCAATATAAACAAAAGTAACCTAAATATGTAAATATGAATTCTGTTCAAATTATTTAATGCATATTGCTCAATTACGTATGGAAAATCAAATGAGATTAAATTTATTAACTAGCAAGCCAATTTATTTGCACCCCGTGGCCATATAAAACGTTCCAATCAAACTGAGCAAATGCATACTAACGCAATTCTCAACAGATTACAAAATAAAATCGCAGTTGGAAACAAAAATTAGCGCAGGAGAGTAAAATGCACACGTATTTTTCCAGATGAAACAATATTACGGTTGAAATGAAATTGTAACTTGAATTTCGTCTATTTTAAATTAGATATGGAAGAAAAACACTGGTAGTTAATAATTCCTAGTTAAAGTTATAGATAGATAATGGACTAATAGTATTTTTTTTATAATGGACGGCTTTATGTCACCCTCTCGTTCCCCTAGCATATTTTTGGGATAGGGACGTTAGGTTAGGTTAGTTACTTTAGTATTTGAAGTTTTATTTCTATTGTTCGATAAAGAACACGACAAAGACCAGGCACCTGAAGGAGGTAAGGCAGGCATTAATTAGGTAAGTAGCATATTATCCTCTATCATCCCCTGGTTTAGTATATTATTTCCTCAGTGCATGTGTACTCTGTTCGTATAGCACACGTATAGTTTTGAAATCCTTGGTAAATTAATAGATCATATGAAACTGTAACGCAAATAATTCAATGCACTTTTTATACGTGTTACATTGTTATAATAAAAAAATCCATAAATACGATTACAGATAGCAATAAGTCCGCCCTTGCGCAAATCATGCAGCTTATTTTTAGTATGCCTTTTATTATATTTGTGCAAAATGTATTTAATTATACTTTACTTTATCATACTAACATTATAAATGCGAAAGTTTAGATGGTTGGATAGATTTTTGTTAGGGTTTGTAGCCTAAACGGCTGAACGGATTGTGATGAAATTTGTTGTAAATGTAGAAGAGAGTCTGAAAGAACACACACTCACTTTTATGTTTTTTAATTACACGCGAACGGAGTCACGGACGAAATCCAGTAAATAAATAAATAAATGTGAAAATGAGGGCTGATAATGTAAGAAACATGTTTCGGGGTACATTAAGGTTGAAAAACAAGTGATGTTTAGATTGGGTATAGTTTACTCGATCATGTTTTAATTGACATTCTGAAAGTTCTTACCTAAATCCTCGGCGTCTTCACTCCACTCCCCTTCCTCTGCACCGCAGGTCGCCACTATGAAGACCAACTGTATCCACTTTATTAAATTCATTTCTTACACAGTTTCACATGACACTGGATATTCAACTCACATTTTTGTCTTGTTTTATTTTATTTTCGATTTCATTTCAAGAGTTTATTTTACTCTAACGTTTTCGTTTGTTTTTCAGACATAGCCAGTCTTAAAAACACATGTAAAAATGAAGGGTGAAATATAAAGATGATATGTAGATGTAAATATTTTAGTAATTACTGAGGGTATGTTTAAATAAGTAAATAATTTAGTAATTATTGCTAAAATGTGGTAACACTAATATAATATGAATATTATAATTTATATGATTAAGTTATTGCTATGTGATTATTTTAACTAATAAATTGTCTGCTTAATTTACTAAATGCTGACTAAAGTTTTTAATACAATTTACATACATTTGGGCATTTTTGTATTGTTATAATTACTAAATGACATCGTCCACTTTATAATCTAATTAAAATGTCAGAATTCGAGTTAAAAGGGCAAAATGTTCTGTCCCGTGTCAGAACTTTGACGTTATATTCGTTCTACACATGTATATTTTCAACATTCTATTAGCGTATGTCTTTGCACCGGTCATTTTTGTTACATTAAAGATGATAAAATGATTTGCCCTTATCCGCAAGGGATAAGGGCAAGTGGATGATGATTTTTGTTACATTAAATTAATTTTTTTATACGTGTAAAATAAGTATAAAATTAAATAGAGATAGTTTATGTTGTGCAAACTTTACGTAGGTTTAGGCTAAGCGCCATCTGCTCTCGGCCACCTCAAGCCAACTGAATCTGTAAATGCCTCTTCAAGGCAAACAGTGGCTATTCAGTCACAAAAAATACTATTTAAGTGTATGTGTATGACGATTATATGAAGAGCGGCTTCATAGTATTATTGTTTTTATTATTTATTTATTTTATTTAACTGTGACGTGGCCATACGATTACAATCCATAAATTGTGTGACAAAACTGTAACACGATTTAGTTTATCTTATTTTTATTATTGAATATAAAATGGCTGAGTGCGTACCTTTCTCTTATCCGATCGGGTTATTTATTGCACAAGTTTGTTTTTGACCGCCTCACGTACTTTATTGGGCGAACCTTCCCTATCCCGAATTGCCAATTTCTATTTGATGTATACTTTATTCCGTTACTTTTCCATGTTACATTTTTTTTTAGATTTTCTTTACGTGACTTTGTGACGTAGATATGATATGAAAGTTTATTTTTAAAATATTTTTAGTGAAAATGTACGTGGCTGTAAATTTTCAATATTTTTTAGTTTTGCGTACAAAAAACCGTTTGAAAATAGCTTTCTATCTGATTCCTCGTGTAAATTTTTTTGACAAGTTTTGTTGGATGAAAAATGGAACAAGACTATTGATTGAGAACACTGTTGAACTATATTTATATATTTTTAGCTAAGTTGAAAATATGGTTATTATTTTTTTTTCTTAGCTATACTAGGTAAAAAGTAAGCTGTAAAATTAGTCTGTCAATTGAGTATTGATACATGTTTGTATAAACAGAACTGACCATCTGTTTTTACGTATTACTATGTATCGCATTCAAAAAGGGGAGAACAGAAAAGAAGAGAGGATTGCACCTCACGGTGACAGACTAGAACTTTGTCTTCTGTATAAAAAAGAAACTGATTTCCTAAAGAATGTAAACACCAATTCCTCTTTAACATTACTCTAACCTATAAAAGATAAGCTTAGAAAAATATGCTGTGGATTTAAGAAAATTACGCATGGGTCATTGACCGTGTTCATGTTCTCATTTGTAACGATCGTGACGGTCGGGTCCGACGTAACCTCAATACCTTGAGCACTGCCCAACGGTGCAAGGACCCTTTTGGGTGAACGACAATGCTGACTCTTTTATTACTTTTATGAATGGACGGCGAGTTGACATAACCGTCAGCGGCATCTGTTGTCATATTACGCTATCCTAGAGAACAGCGTGACTTGTCTGGCCCGGTGAGTTATAGAATTTAGTACATACTGTAGCTCGCGACATCGCCACACACAAACACTACACACAGTTTATGTTATCACTGATAATGTAGCATTGTAAGAGTGATTTTTTGAAATCAGCCCAGTAGTTTTTAAGTTATTTCAATACATACAAAAATGCAAAGATACAAATATTTGTTTATAACATTAATATAGATTTAGATTTGTTCAAGATTGTGTTTTACTTAGGCATAAAAAGTGACAAAATGAGACATCCAAATATAATTCAACAGTGCAATACTGAAACGAATTTTGAACACTTCGTCACGTAAGCTTCGCTTATAATCTCTGACGTCAATATTTAATTGGAATTTGCTGTTTAGTGGCTTTATAATTATAGAGACTGTTATATCTGAATGATTGAATATTCGGCCGTGAAAGGGATATCTTTATTTAATGCAATTTGTTTTGCAAATAGTTATCGGGTCATATAAATTTGTCGGACTATACATCGATCTATAAGATGAACTCGCTATATATGTATGTACTCGTATGGTAAATTTTGGGGGTGAATTGGATTCGACGTTAATACAGGAACAAAGTAGGGAGACAATTGCTGAGTTTGCAAATACACATCGGCTTCCTAATATCTGATATATCTTTCTTGTTGGCGTTTCTTTAGATTATAGAAAGTTTTATGTTGTAGATTCGAAGAATATATTACGGCCAAATACTGAACGAATTTAAACATGCAATAGCGTTTTAAGTGATATGCAAAACTCAAAGTTCCTTTCAAATTTTGACACCTATCAGATTGTAAGGGGCACGTACGAAGCGAAGTGTTAAAGGTTCGTTTCAGTATTTGATCGTAAATTTTCAAATAATTAAATAGTACATTATATTTATGTTTAAACTATACAATTTATTCTTCTAGCGGTATAACATAATATTCGCTACATTTATTTTTATTGTTTGTATATGTTATAAATTCCATTGTCAGTTAACACAAAGAGTATGTGGAGGCGCAGATAAAAGAAAAACTCACATGTAAAAAAGTCCGCAGTAAGCAAAGATCTGAGCGGGATATCGTTGAATGGCAAGCCACTTGGATTATTTTTATTTCAGACCAAGATTTATTTTCGTCAGATTAGCATTTCTCTTATTTATGCTAATGTAATTTTAATGGCTCTGCCTTTTTCGGCTAATTTTATTTCAGAGAAAACTCCCCGGGGATTTGTTTAAAATCTCGGCTTATTAAGATAACTCTGGTGATGATTTCAGGTCGATAAATTTTATGAAATATCGTTCGGGTTAGAAGTTAATTACGTTCCTTAATGTTTGTTTTTAATTAAGCTTCGATAACAGCAACAACATAAAACAAACCGAAAATATGAATAAAGTTTGCTCGCGAGACGGGAATCGTACGTGTTTGTTTTTGAGTTTTACCTCCCTATAAAAATATACCTACCTATTAAAAATTTGTAATTATAAAATTTTGAATACGTTGTTTTTGTATTTAGTTAAATTGATTGGTAGGTAGATAAATGTATAGTTAATATATATAAAATGTCTTGAGGATCTTAAAGTTGTCATCACATTTATTGGGATTTTTTTTATGAAAATGTCGCTAAAACTTGATTCTTTAGTAAATCTTCCTTCTGAATTCTAAGCAGCACTAAGGGATACTTCATTTGTGATGAAATTGCATAACAAGTAGTGTTATTGCCTACTTTTATTGCACGCCGGGCGAAACCACATCGGTGAGTGGACGCCGTCGTGACCCTTAACCTATTTAATCTTCTTAACCCCACTTCACTTGGAGTACTAAATTGTGTGTTATTATGATACTTTAAGTAAAACTCAGCAGAAATCTGGTCAAGTTACGCACGTAAATGCTCTATTAACATGTATTTGGAGGTTATTTTATAAATTAGAATTAGACATTTTTAATTCTACACCTATTTTGTAAGACTGGTTTTCTACAGAAACTTGTTTATCTAAAACCAACTAACTATTAGGCAACCCAGTTACAACATGTTTTAAAAATTGTGCTCTTTCACGTAATGTAGGTTTTATCAGGAAATCTTATTAGGGAAGGTCATCACTAGTGTTGTATCTCTAACTACTATCATGTACCTAAATTAAACCAAGTTCTTTTTATTTGTAATTTTGTATTTGGTAATTTTTGTTCTGTGTAATTTTTCCGTTTTGCTATAGTTGATGCGCATTAATATTTTTGTACGATATTTCTATTAGTGAGGACCTATTGTGGCTGTTTAAATATTAATTATCATTATGTGTAATTTGTAATAAATAGCTGTTGTTCTTCCTTGTAAAAAAAAATAAATAAATATACCAACGTCCTTATGTTTATTATAAATACAGAAAAAAAACAACATTTAACATAAAAAGTAAAAGAAAATAGTAATATGGAATAACTGACTACTTTCTACAAGAATTAGGTTAATTAGAAGGTTCCAGATCCTTAAAAGAGATCTACAATCACTATCCAGTCCTCTTAATAACAAGCGTAAATGTAATATATTAAATTCTGTTTTCGAATGGTTATAAAACAACAGTTCGGTCGAAAGAAATTATTTTGTTATTTCAATGGACTAACACGAGGGGATCTCTCCGTCTGTTTATTTAAGCCCCAGTATAAACCAGACTAAGTCCAGTTGCGCAGTAGTTTAAGGCAACAAGCCGCTCTTTGTCGACGTTTGTATTGGAAAATTGGAATTGAAAGTCTACCGACCACGTTCTGGAACAAACAAGCAGCGACATATTAGCCTTTGGCAACGGACAATTGTCTTTCGGAGCGCGTCTTTAGTACGCGAAAGCCAGATGCAGTATGCCGTTTGTTTATTCCATTTTCAAATATATTTTTTTAAAATTGTGATTATATCAATGGTTCCCTAATGATAAAGGTAATTGTACCGTTAAAAGAAGTTACTCGATCAATGATGGCCATTATTTTACGATTACGTGGTACTATAGTCAAGTCAATTATTTAACTGGTATTTTAAAGATTTTTTTATTTTTATATTGCTAAGCATATCGCCTACGATAAATGGGAATGTGCATGTTACTTTATTTTTCTTTTATTTTGTTTTACAAACGATGGTAAACGGTTGCGACATAAAACATACTTCCTTCGCAACATAAAACGCCACCCGT